TTACCACACAACACCCCACCCCACTCCGGCCAGTTTTTCCCCCGAACTTAGAATGAAATGGAAATGAATTATTTCACTAGCGCAAAAAAATGTCTGCTAAAATTAAATGCAATTCATCAACATGGATCCTTTCAAAAAAAGGAAGGAAAAAAAATTGCAAAAAACGGGCTTCTAGAAAGAGCCAAAATGAGAAAGAGAAAGAGAGACCAAGATATGGAAACATCTGATAGGGATGCAGGGAAAAAGTTTACAATATTTCGGTCCCAAAAGGAAATGAAAATAATATGATTGATTTATTGTATATATTTTTTTAAAGAAAAGAAAAACGATACACAAGACCCCATCGAATGAAAAGGGACATTAGCTGGTTATAGGACCGATAAACCCCTTGAATAAATAATTCATTTTTATTCATTTAAGGACTTGTACGTTGTTTCTTTAGAAGCAATGCTCACAAAAGAAACCTTTCAAGGTACACTTAAAAACCATCAGTGCCTTTACAAAGAAGAGAATGATGGTGTTTTTTTTTGCCATGAACTAAAAAGTTATTTCTTGAAAGAAAAGATGGCAATGAAAAAGCAGTTTTAAAAGGATTTTTTAAACAATGAAGCCCTGGAATTCATAGGAAAATTCTATCAGTGCTTTATGGTTCCTCTCTCATCCTGCCATCTACTGTGAAAAAGGCCAAAGTTGACCAACCTCTGAGAGTCATTGTGAATTTGAGACCTCAAGACAACCTCCTACAGTCACAAAGTAGGGTTAATAATGTGTCTCCTTCATGCTTCCAAGCCAGGAAGATAACTGAATCAATCATCTCCTTCAATGTTGGTTCTGTTGTCCCTCAAAAAGAAAGCGGCACCTAATGAGGAGGCCAAACATACATGTCCATATCTTGTTCTGTCTTGATGGTTTTGACCCACATGTGCCAAGGTTGGGTGAGGAACATCTCAGGCCATGAACGACAGCTACCCATTACAGAAATCTGTCCAAGGGGTGGAGTGGCAGGCATTCAGAAAGGACCTCTACACCTACGAGACTCCACAGAGAAAAAAACCTGGGCATTATTTTTGGCAGCCCAACCAGTCCCACTATCAACTCATAAAGCATCCCTATGCCTGTTTTTGAGTTGCCATAAACAAGGGGGTGTGGGGAAGAGAAATCTGAAGAAGAAGCAGTATGTGTTGTGGTTAGCTGGCAGCAGGTCCAGACGGCTGAGGAGAGCGAGGACTCAGATGAGGGGCCAGGACCATTAGGGAGTGGACTGCTGCCTTCAGAGATTGTGGGGGCTGGCAGCAGCGATGAGGAGGTTCCCGAGGAGCCTGTGCCAAGTGCGCATAAGGGCTGCTCACAGGAAAAAGCTGCAACAGTATGGGCAACTCGGGAGCAAGGCTGCAAGGTCCCTCCTTCAAGAAGATAAAAGCCAGCCGTGAAACGAACGTTCTTTGCAGAAGGCAAAGACGTTTTGAAACTCAGTCTCGTGGACATTCTCCTCATGGTAAACCAACTGACACGCTGCTTGTACACTTATGAAAGAAAATTGGATGTTTTTATGGTTGGTTTGTTTTTGCTTGTCTTTAAAAACCAATAAAACTTGTTTTTTTTTTAAAAAAATAGAATATATCTAGGCTACATTCACTAAAATCTGAAGGAGAGCCCTACCCTAAAAAAACTCAAGCCTTTATCCTTTGCACTCACTGCCGAAGTGGGACATGTCAATTTTTGAAGCCACACCAACCCTCTGCACAACCATTAAGCATGACTTGATTCATGGGTATCTTTCTCTCTTCCATAAGGAACAGCTGCTGCCTTTGTAAGCAAGAGATTTATTTATTTTTTTTAGTTTTTAAACTACTACTTCTTCAAAGGTATTCTAAATGCCAATTCAACACCGAACAAAAGCGCTTGTAGAAAGGTGCTTGCTATTGACCTCATAAGCAGGAGAGATTCTATAATGAGATTATCACGGCCCCGTTGGCAACAGAAGCTGGAGACGGAACAATTGATTAAAGTGGAGGGTTTTTTTTTTATTGGGGGGGGGGGGGTGGGAAGCCTTAAAAAGCACAGGGCTATAAAGAATTGGAGAGGAAAAAAAATGAGAAATCGGTGTGAACAAAATCACCCGTTTTTCAAGAGCTGAAGAATAAGAGATGAGAAATGAATGGGGAAAAAAAGAAAGATTATTTGCATTTTCTCTGTATGTTAGATTCGAACTTTTTTTTTTTCCAGCTGGGGATGATGGCAGATCTTCCTCTAGCCCAAAGGTGAGGAAAATGCCTATTATGATGAGAATGTAGAACTCAGAATAACAAGAGTCAGAAGGGACCATGAAGGTCATCTAGCCTGGCTCCCTGAACGAGCTGGAACGTCCATACCAGGAGTGTCAAACTCAAGGCTCACGGGCCCGATCTGGCCCCTAGGGTGCTTAGATTATGGCCCACTGGGCCTCCCTAAAAACAGTGAAGGACCAGCCTGTGATGTCTCCTCCACACAGCACCCCCCG